TATATTTATTTATATATATATATAAGTTTATAGTAATTTTTTAATTGAAAATAAATTGTAACAGATTTGATATTAAAACAAACATCACAATGAAATGATGAAGGGTTGGCAATAAATGGATATCCTTCAGCAGAGCAGCTGCATACTTAAATTTTTTTTTTATTTTTTTTTTATTTTTAATTTTTATTTTTATCATAATCAACAGATTCTGTGATTCTAGAGCCAGATGATCAATGTGGTATGCAAAATTTTTAACATATTTCAACACAAATATGGACAGTTAATGGCCATTCCTTATCCAAAACTGACTATATCTGTGTTGAGAAATATGATTAATATTCGAACATTAACTTCAAATGATGATGATAAGAAATACAGGGTGGTATTTGAGTAGCACCATTATGGTACTATTCATTAGAAGCATTCTATGATTACTCTGTAATAAAATAAATTTTAAATGCAATAAAATCCAAATTTTATAAACTCTTAAACAACAATCTATCCAATATCAACTGATATAACTTTCTTTCCTTTCAAATAATAAACAAATAATAATAATAATAATATTATTAACATTAATCTTTGTAAGATTTTAAAAGAAAACATATGCCATTTCAGCACAATATATGAGAAAATAGTTAATAAAAACAATTACATTTTAACAAATAAATCTTTTTGATATTTGAATAAAACTCAATGTATAAAAACTGGAGGAAAATATATATATATATTTTTATTTATGTGTGTGTGTATATATATATATATATATAATAAGTCAATGACCAGAGTAACTGCTGCTCTAATGTATTTCAAAAAACAATTTTCACATGTCAACAAATAACTGTAACCATTCAAAAATGCTGAAAATTTACAATCATCAAATATCAATACAATACCAAATTCTTTTTTTTTTCTTTTTTCTTTTTTTAGAATGGCAGTGTAATTATTATTTATTCCCTCCTTTCCTTTAAAATCTTTAAACAACATTTTACATTTCTCACTGCATAATTAAAAATTAATAGGTTTCCTCTACTAGTAATTGTTTCAATATAACTGTAATAACCACTTTAACAATATCATTTTATCCTAAAAACAAACCGTGGACTGTTCAAAACTCAAAACCATTTCACATTAATAAAATTATAAATGCATTATTAAACATTTTATTGTTTATAAGAGTTATAGGCAGTGATCTATTATTATTTGTTAGCAAAGGAGGTCTGTTTTAGAATTACACATGTTTAAACACTGTGTATATATATATATATATACATATATGTATTCATGTATATAATTTAGTATACAGGTCTCATACTTTAATGAAAGACTGCCTATGTATCTTTGTTTTATTTATTTATTTATTTTTTTTTTTGTCAAATTTTATATTTTTAATACTTTTGGTTTTAGGTATGACTTTCCAACAAGCATTATAATTCCTGCAAATGACACTAGGTCAAAGCAGATCCACTATATCTCTTTTAAGAAACTAAACCTATATTGAAATGGCCTTGAATTTAAGAAACGTGGTACTAAAACAGCTTCAACATCAATATTTATATATCATACAAATATTCTAACTTTTGATTCCAGAGAAGTATGTTTCGTAATTAGATAACAATGTAATAAAAATTCAAATATTACTATATGTTTTTGAAACTAAAATCTTTTAGAGTGAAATTTAAGGTCTGTACCATTTCTCACTGCAATATGATCACTTTATATCTTTCTAAAAGAGACATCACTGTAAGTTTTTAAACAAGAATAGATGAAATGGCATCATCTATCAAATCACATCTGCAATGAATGCCATATTAAGTTGGGGCCAATTTTGGTGAAGTACTTACAAGAATATGTACACAGGAAAAGTCTTGGCCAAACAATTTACAATTTTTCTTGGTTCATCAAAGATAATCTCTTATTTATTATTTTTTTTGTTTTTTTTTCACTTGGGAACATGCAATTAGTGCCTAAAATCAACAACACAATATTCAAATTTCTGAAGAATGCACAAAGCTTGTACAAACATCCTTGTACTACTTCAAATTATATAGTCTTTTTCTGTTTATTAAAAAAAAATTAATCATTTCTCGCCATCAATTGATTTTTCTGTTAATTCTTTCATTTTATCCACATAATCAGCAAATATATCCCGAAATCGTGACCAGGATTTTTCTGGAATGGTGACTGCTGTTCTAAAATTGCTTTTGACCTACAAATAAAATTTGCATAATTCATTAAAACTTTGAATAAAAAAAACATATATAAATATATAATTAAATTAAAATTTTAAAAGCATCATTTTAAATGTAAATGCAATTTCCAATTCAAATTTAGATTCATAAGTAAATAAATTCTACTTATATATGAACATAACTTAAAATAAAAGAATTAAACATTCAATATGCATAGCTAAATGATAGAAACAATACAGTTTTGAGTATTTTATATCAATATATAATTTTCATCTTAATCTTCAATTTCTGAATTCATTTTCCAAATTTTTTTTACTAATTTATGTCTTGTTTATCACATATGTTTCTTAATTATATAGGTATAATCAGTGCTCTTTCTCTAAAAAAAATTATTGCCAGATATGCCAAATATGGTGATTGAACATGCAAAATTGATTTTACTAACTTGAAAAGTATCAACTGCCAGTACTGGTACCTGCTATTGATTCTTTTTGTGTGTCCCAACTGAAAAATATTATATTTTTCAGCTGGAACACATGCCCTGAACATATTTTTATTTATTTATTTTTATATTACTATTAGCATTTATACAAATTATTAGTTATTAATTATTTTGTTACTACTATCTTTTAGAAGTATAACATCTTTTAGGGCTGTTAAGTTAAAGTTGCTATTGCTTTGTAAGAAAAATCAGGCTTTACTGGCCAGTTTATATTGTACATATTTGGCATGCTGAATGCACTGATGCCTGATGTCACCCAGCATAGGACAGTTGTATAAGTAGTGCATGACATTGTCCCGCACCCCACAGAGCTGACAGCAGTCAGAATTAGAGTGGTGAAACCTTTTCAGATAAACATGAAAGTGCCCGTCTTCTGTCAAAAATTAGGCTAAATCATGTGTGGATTGAATCCATTTGATGTGAACACGTTCCTTGACCTTTGGGATAAAAATTCTTATATGCTGTTTGCTGCATACGAGGCTATGCATATGACACAATTATCCTAGCTTCACACAGGAACAGTGAACGCTTACAGGACATATGCAACAACATTCACCAGTGGAGTATTAAGCATAGGCAACCCATTAACACAGACAAATGCAAAAGTATGATAGTTGGTAGGAATGTGCCACTCATCTGGAAGCTTACCATTCGAATAAGTGTTCACAGAATAAAGCAAACAATGAATATTAAATATTTAGATGTTATTCTTGATGAGAGAATTAACTTCACACCCCACATCAAATACATCACAGACAAAGCTGAAAATACGGCCAATGCCGTCACTAGTATTGCTAGAATACATGGGGCCTTGGCCCTACTGCTACTAAGCTTATTTACAGGGGTGCAATTCAGCCAGCACTCCTCTATGCCATACAGGTCTGGGGCCACATGGCCGCCAAAGTCCATAACCATAAAAAACTGTTCTCTTCAAATGATTGCAGCTCACCGCATTTCTAAGGCTTATAGGACCACACCCACTAGTGCCCTTTTGACTTAGAAATTAACACATTATTTGGCAGGAAAATCTCGTCACCTTACCCTGGCGAGACTATAGAAACTCGCATGTCAACAAAATGATTAGAGTAGATAAGATTCCCCTCTGTTTGACCTTGATTGGTGATATCAAAACATTCAGCATTGACAAAATACCCTCCCAACAGCTTTCCCCCTGACATTTACTCCAAAGATCCAGGTGATCATCCCACGTTTAGGATTTACACTGATGGTTCCAAGATGGGTGACAATGTGGGTGCTGTTTTTGTAGTTTACTCCAACTTAGACCATGAGCTCCACAACACTTATTTCTGTCTAGGTACACACTGCTCAATAGCACAGGCAGAAACTTTAGCTATTTATATGAGCTTAATTCACATTAGGCATAGGAAGGACAAAAGACACTACTTACACTATCGCATTTATTATGCCAGTAGGATAGCTTTACACAGTATTGCAAAGTCCAACAGCCACTTAAAACTCATCCATCTCATACACCACATTCTCAGACGCTTAGACAACAACATTAGAATACATTTCCAATGGGTCCCGGGTCATGCGGGGATTCTCAGCAACGAGACCGCTGACTGTCTTGCCAAACAAGCTGCAAAGTCTTCCAGTCACTAGTACTTTCAGTTACATTCCTATATTTGTACATCAACAATTACATCAAGAAGCAAATCATTCTCTGACAAGACAGCTGGGACCATGACACCACTGCAGATTCTTTGCCACTTTTACCCTAGTTACACCCTCACTCAGCTACTTACAGGGCATGGCAACTTTAAGCAATACTTGCATAGATTTAACCTTGGGAACAATCCACAATGTGACTGTGGTATTCAGGAGGACCAAACACCACTTCACTTAGTTTTTCATTGCAATAGGTACAATCACATTAGGGATAGTTTAATGAGAGCTGCTATTCTTAAATAGTACAACTGGCCTTGCAACCCACGCCAACTCATTCACAGCATACAATGTTCCATCATCTATTCGCATTCATATCCCTTAGTGGAACTCTTGAGAGCATTCACTCGGGCAATTAGCTTTCCCTTGCTTTGTTTCAACTGTGGGTATATAGCTGTTTTCAACTTTGTATTTTAATTCTTATTTTCTGTTTTCTTTTCAGTCTAAATTCGGTTAGTTTAAATTATCCTAGTTGTAAGTTAAATTATGGACTCTTAGCTTGATTTCTGGTTAGGTTTGTCCTAGGTTATGGTAGGTTACTTTTAGTTAGTAAGTAAGTTAATGTTTAAAATAAAATAAATAAATAAAATAAAAAAATTTGGGGTCTTGCGTGTTTGTCTTTTGTCCGTCCATTTGTCTTGTCTAGTTTGTCATTGTGTTCGCTTGTTTTTTTGTGCTGTCTGTCTAGCTGTTAAGTAGTATTAAGATTCGCACTCACATTCAATTTCATTAGCATTAAGTAGTTATAAGTCTTCCTACTAACAGCCACTTGGCACTAACTTCTACACTTAGCTATTCGTGGTGTTCACTACACTCAAGTTTTCTTTTAGACCCTTCGGGGGACTACAGCCTTCAAGCCTAAAAACTGCACGCCAACAAACAGAGGATACTGTAGCCATACATACAACGTTTAGAGGGATCCCACCTTTCTCTATCTATCTATCTCCTCTCCCTCCTTCTTCCCCTCCCCTTTCCCTCTTTTCTGCTGGCTAAACACCTCATGTATGGCCAAAGTCTTTCTTGTATGTATGTTATGTGCTGTTGTGGGATCTCATCCCAATTCAGCTGCCAGGACTCCAAGGCATTCTCCCAGATAAGGTATTTAAGTCTTGACTTAAAAGTGAGACTGTAAGCAGGAGGAGTATCAGAATTAGGCATTACATTTTGCACCAGAAAGTCAGCCTGTTCATTACCCAGAATGCCACTGTGTCCTTTGATCCAATTGATGGCATACTTGTTACAAGATGTAAAGCTGTAGCAAAGATGTCTTTTGCAACATGGTAAGATTTATCCTTATTCCCCAAAGCAGCAACAGTCGCAGCACTTTCTGTGAAGATGTTTATCAGTTTGTTCACAAAGTTAGTGTTGCACCAGTTGATTGCCATCAATACAGCATTTGGAAAACAGAACATTCCAGGTGTAGAGCAAAGGAATCATTGTAAACCTCTTCACCAGCCTGAAAGATCACAAAGGCATTTGCCGTGCCATCTGTTGATTTGGATCCATCTGCAAAAGTCTCAATTTCTGTACAGATAACATGAGGAGAGAGTCCCTTCCTTAAGGCAGGATGTGGAAGTGTATATACAGGCCTGTCTAATTCAAACATGGTGGCATTGAAGATGGTTCCATTAATATCAACATCCTTGCCCCTAGAGATACAGAAACATTTACTATTAAATTGGAGAAATTGGAGAATGGGGAGCTTCCCAATCACCACAGGGAGGGCTGCATTCAAAACAGTGGAATAGCACCTAGTAAGTCATAATAAAGCAATCTGTTGTGCAGATCTCGAAAGCCGATAGTTATGAGATTCAGAGGTAGCAGCACTCCAAACAGCAGATGCATAAGAGATGGTTGGTAAAAACAAGCAATCATATATATCATTAGTTTCCTCAAAACCGAAGCTCCAATTGAACCTAGCAAAATATCCCAGAACAGGGGCCCACAAACAGACCCCTGTGAACAGCCACATTGTAGCTTAAATGTAAATTGAAGATGCCCCAGAGAGATAATTGCTTCTCTATCCTCAAAGCAATTTGCAGCAAGATGGAATAAGTTAGCCAAACAATTGAACTCACCTAATCTGTGTAAAATTTGCGGCCACCAGGCCAAACTGAATACATTCCACAGATCTAGGCTGAGGCCAAAGACAAATTTGTTGCTTCATAGCAGATGTTTGATGTACCCAACTAAGTCCATCAACAGCTCCATGCTGGCACCAAAAACCATATTGGGCTTAATGGGACAAACAGCCCTCTGGACATCCAAAACCAATAAATGCGATTAAAAGTGAGCCTATCTAAAATTTTCCCCAAGACTGACAGGAAGGAGCTATTTCGCATGCTTTGAATGTCAAGAGATTTGCCCCAATTTTTCAGTATTAAAACAAAAAGAGCCTTCTTCCATAGCTGGGGGAAGATACCGAACTCGAGGCAAAAGTTGAGAATGTTGAGAAGTAGATCTGGGCGGGTTTTCCATATTGTTAGAATAATGTCTTTGTTTATCCCATCTAAACCCGTGGCTTTGTTCCTTGGGAGATGGTTTATAGAGTCATTGACCTCAGAAAAGGTAAAAGGTGAGTCATCCTCCGAGAGCTCACCAGCATTCCTGCATCTTCCAATTGCAGAGTGCTTAGGAGTGTCCTCCGCGAGGGAGTCAGAAAGGCAGAAATAATCAAAAAGGCCAGAAACTGTGGCTTCAAGACTGACAGGATTGTCAATATTGCTACTAAAAAAAAAAAACTGAGCTTTGAGTTTGTTTACACAGAGCTTATATATAAACCCCCATGGGTCTACCCACACCTGCACAGAAGGACTTCCAAGAATCTAG